TGCTTTATTCAGTGGGGTTATCATCCAATAATATCAGTATTTTATTTATATTTTTTTGTTTGTTTTGAGATGGAGTCTCGCTCTGTTGCCAGGCCAGGAGTGGCAGTGGCGCGATCTCAGCTCACTGCACCTCTGCCTCCTTGGTTTCAAGAATTCTTCCTGTCTCGCCCTCCCTAGTAGCTGGGACTGCAGGTGCACGCCACATGCCCAGCTAATTTTTGTATTTTTAGTAAGATGTCCTGACCTCGTGATACACCCACCTCGGCCTCCCAAAGTGCTGGGATTATAGGCTTGAGCTACCGCGCCCGGCCTCGATCTCTTGACCTTGCGATCTGCCTGCCTCGGCTTCCCAAAGTGCTGGGATTACAGGCATGAGCCACCTCACCCAGCCTGATATCAGTATTTTAATTTACAAATTGTCTTGGATTTGGCCGGTAGAACCCCTTTCTTTCTTTATGGCACAGCAAAACATCTTGCTTTTCCAGACTCATTTTGCATCTTACCTGCTCCACATGTGGAATCAGCCATTTCTCCAAGGAGCTGGTGGGCATGGTTTGAGGGGTTTGGGGGTTGGAGACTATACATACTGGTTTGTGTTGTCACGTTTACCTGCAGCACTGGATATATTTACAGTGGTGTTTGTTCTTTACAGTCAGAGTGTCCAAGAACTGTGGAAGGCCTTTGTATTACTGCTTTGGACAAAAATTTATGATGACTGACCACCTTTCTTTCCTGTTAACTGACATTTCAACTTGACATATGTAATCTTTACCACATTTACTCATTTAAGTGGCTATTTGAGTACATTCTACATGTACAGTACTATGCTGTTTTTTTAAGCCATTCTGAGGAACACAATAAGCTGGAAAAAATGATTTACCAAATACATGGAATTATATATAGTCTGTTTCCTTAATCCTGATTCTGTGTTGTTGGCATGTTATTCCAAAGTGAATATCATCTTTCATGGGGTGGCAAAAATGCCACCATTTTGAGAAAGCCTTTTTGATTCCTGAGTACCTGTAATGACCTAAAGCTCTTTTATGCCTCTTGGAACCTTGTATCTTGTATTGTTTATTTTTGTTTTCTCCATTAAGTCATTTGGCTCCAAAACAGCAGTTATAACCTTGTTCATCTCTGTATTTTGCTTTGTCCCCTCTACACTGCATTGCTGTAGCGGGCACTCAGAGTGTGAATGTTGGTAGTGGATTTTTACTTTTTGTTGGCAAATTGCGCTGATCTGATTCCAGCTATGGAAAACATTTAAAAAAAAAAATTCAACATTGTCTTCGTATTCTCGGGAAATCCTAGGTGATTATTGTCATTCATTTGTAGATGACAAAAAGGAGCTTGGAGCAGCCAGAAGAAGTCAGTATTACATGAAATATGGGAATCCAAATTACGGAGGCATGAAAGGAATTCTTAGCAATTCATGGTAAGCCCAAAACCTTCAAATGCAATAGTATTTAAGTTTTTCTTAATCCTTCAGTTGGCATTCTATGGTGAAATGTCTAAACCCTGTGTAGACTGGGAGGAAGACAAGAGGGAAGAATTCAAGATTCTTAAATGTGGTAAATGATGGGGAATGCTGAGTTTTAGTTAGTTACATTTAAAATATCTGTGTTAGTACCTAACATTGTGTCAACATGTAGTTGAAATGAATTAGTGAGGCCGGACGCGGTGGCTCACGCCCATACTCCCAGCACTTTGGGAGGACGAGGCGAGCAGATCACCTGAGGTTAGGAGTTTGAGACCAGCCTGGCCAACATGGTGAAACCCCATCTCTACTAAAAATACAAAAATTAGTCTTGCATGGTCGTGGGCGCCTGTAATGCCACCTACTCAGGAGGCTGAGGCAGGAGAATTGCTTGAACCCAAGAGGCGAAGGTTGCAGTGAGCTGAGACGGTGCCTTTGCACTTCAGCCTGTGAGACAGATCGAGACTCCATCACACAAAAAAAAAAAAAAAAAAAAAAATAGGGGATTTCAAGGTCCTTCCTATTAGTTTTTGATTGTGTGCTTATTTTGGCATTCTTGCAGGAAGCGAAGATATCATTCCCGTCGTATTCAGCGGGACGTGATCAAGAAGAGAGCCCTGATTGGGGATGACGTTGGCTTGACGTCGTATAAACATCGGCATTCTGGTAGTTGCCTGCTCAGCTCTTGGGTAGACACATGTTTGGCTCCTGAAATCATATTTTTATTCTTATTGCAATCTTTTAAGGTTCCAAACTTTATCATCCTCTCTTCCTTGCCCTCACCCTCTGCCAACATATAGGAAAGTAAGTCAAGTCACAATTAATTTTAAGTTGCCCAAAGAGGTCAAATGATTTTGTAAAAGCTGTTCTATCAAAAAAGGCAAAATGTGACATAGGAAAAATTAAAACATAACTTTCCTTAAGATCCTAATTTTTCTACTATTAATATCAGCAACTGCATGAAAACAATTTTTTTTTTTTTAAGATGGAGTCTCGCTCTGTCTCCCAGACTGGAGTGCAGTGGCTTGATCTCGGCTCACTGCAGCCTCTACCTCCTGGATTCAAGCAGTTCTCCTGCCTTAGCCTCCCGAGTAGCTGGGACTTCAGGCACGCGCCACCATGCCCAGCTAACTTTTGTATTTTTAGTAGAGACGGGCATTTCGCCATGTTGGCCAGGCTGGCCTTGAACTCCTGACCTTGTGTTCCACCCACTTCGGCCTCCCAAAGTGCTGGGATTACAGGCGTGAGCCACCGTGCCTGGCCAAAAACAATTTTTAAAATTATTCTATCAGATGAACTGATTGTATTGTTCTTTTTCTGTATTAAAAATAGGCTGCTGTGTTGAGTGCTTTGTGCGTGTTGGTTTGTGCATGTGAATGCCTCAGAAAAGTGGGATATCATGACCTGGGTTTCTTTCTCCTTTTTTTGGTGCTTATTGTAAAAGAGCCATTTTATTTATATTTTATAAAGAATTATTCTTGTTTTGAGCCTAATCTGTGGAATCTTCTACATGCCTAATAGAACTAGCCAAGTCAGCATACAAAATAACATACACACACATTTATCATTGCAATGGGGACAGAAAGGGATGAAGTCTAGACATTTTATTTAATGTGTATATACAAAATTGTGTATTTGAGATCTACATGTTAATAATACACATAGTCTGGGAACAGTGGCTCACACCTGTAATCCCAGCACTTTGGGAGGCCAAGGCAGGAGGATCAGTTGAAACCAGGAGTTCGAAACCAGCCTGGGCAACATAGTGAGACCTTGTCTTTACAAAAAATTAAAAAATTAGCCAGACCAGGCATGATGGCACATACCTGTGGTCCCAGCTACCTGGGAGGCTGAGATTGCCTGAGCCTGGGAGGTCAAGGCTGTAGTGAGCCAAGATTGTGCCACTGTATTCCAACCTGGGCGACAGAGCAAGACCTTGTCTCAAAATAATAATAATAACACATATACTTTTCTGTTACACAGTTACACTTTTCCAATTTTAGTTACTTTAAAATATTTTCATCATACACTTTTTATTTCCATATTAAGGAAATTGAAAAGCAAATTGCCCCTATTTCTAGTACCCTGTATGATGACTAATTTCATCTTACATTTTTCCCATGTGTGTATTTTCATAATAAGTAGTATAACTCTTGTGAACATATACTTTATATTCTACTTCTTTCGTTTATCGTATTTTTCCATTTTCATTATTCATGGTGCTTATGTTCTCTAAAGTCACTGTGAATGCTGAATTAGCAAATACTGAATGCACATAGCCTCTGGTCACATCATTTTTGTCAGTTGATAATATGTAACCTTGTTTTATATATGTTTCTCTTTAAAGACACCTTATTTAAGATACATTGTTGATTCGTTAACGTTGCGTTCACGGCCAATAGCCCTATAACTCATGCCTGAACCCACCTTACCTGACGTGGTATTTTTCCACAAGGCACATCAGTGCCCTCTTGCATCTTGGAACGCTAGGCAGCACTTCAGCGCAACACTCAGGGCCATTTTAAGCAGTGACATCAGCAGCAGGCACACAAGTGTGAAAAATGCGGCACTCGTCAGTTGGACTGAAACAGACGCTTGTTTACAGCATGAGATGAAACAGGAAGGCAGGGTGTTGCTTTGTTTGACCTCTGCTGGGAGTGTGTGTGCCTGGTGACTCAGATTTTTTTGCCACACTGTGCGTGCCAGCAAATGACCATGGAAGCATTGCAAGTATTCATTTTGGAGTTACAAATAAATTTGGCAAATTTGCAAATACAAAATCTGTGAATAACAAGGGTCAGTTGTGTTTTAAATGACTTTATGGTATTTGATTAGGCTGCTGCGTCATACTTTACCTAGCCATCCTCCTGTTGCAGTATCAGAGTAATGTCCGTTTGGCACTGTTATAGATAGTGCTCCAATAAAATGTCAGGGGTGGGAACCCCACCTTTTAAAAAGGTCACCAATGTAGAGTGGAAAATCATACTTCTTAATTTTAGTGCTTTTCCTAATGTTTTCTGGTTTAATTTCTTCAGGGCTAGTGAATGTTCCCGAGGAACCCATTGAAGAGGAGGAAGAGGAGGAGGAGGAAGAGGAAGAGGAGGAAGAAGACCAGGACATGGATGCAGATGACAGAGTGGTGGTAGAGTACCACGAGGAGCTCCCGGCTCTCAAGCCGCCCCGGGAGCGGAGTGCGTCTAGACGATCCAGTGCCAGCAGCTCAGACTCAGATGAAATGGACTATGATCTAGAACTCAAAATGATTTCCACCCCTTCACCAAAGAAAAGCATGAAAATGACTATGTATGCTGATGAAGTGGAGTCTCAGTTGAAAAGTATTAGGTAAAACTTTGTTTTATCAATGCTAGCTTTAAATTTGATTTTAAATATATAACTTCTTAATCTCCTAATTTTATATTTTTTAATCTATTCTGGATTTCAGGTCCTCTGTAGGAGTGTTAATAAA